AATTAGGTATTTTTTATAAGTCATGGGATGAAATGGAATGCATATAATGCACGCTTGTTATTTTCTAACAGGCAAGAGATACGAATTCTAGTATCAATAAATCCGATAGGAAATCTGAGATACATATGAAGAAAGTGCTTGACTTGGGAAAGGACACTCTAAATACGAAATACACGTAAATCAGGCTCAGGAACGGTAATCATTCTTTCAAAATTCACCGGATTCCGCGAATAGAGCCGGATAAAAGGCTGGCCGTAGCTTTACGTCGAAAAAATCCTGTTACCCGGGTAGATGGAAAAGAGACGAGAAGGTCCTCGGAGAGCGGATCGGTTCGATGTTAAATCCCCGTTTGAATCCTCGACCTTCCCACCCTCCTTTGATCCATCTTAGGTCCGCGAATGCCGTGTACCACGCTCTCAATTAGCATCAAAACCAAGGGAAATAGTCGAAAATAGGTGAAGTTGAACGAACAGAGGTCCGAACCGGTTAGCATCGAAATCGGACGCGTTATTCGAGATAGCAAACACTGTATCTGTGGCCGGGTTGGCATTCAAGGATTACCGGAGTTTAGCATAATATTAGCGAACCTCGGAGGAGGACAACAGGCAGACGACGCCGCGACGAGAAGATGGGAGTAGCAAGAGCAACCCGGGTAGAGTATCACGGGGGTGGTGGTGGTGGGAAGGGTGCAGGTATTATTCATGGATTACCTCACTTGTCCCGGCTACAATCCTCCCAAAGCCTCCATTAGAATAATTGCTTCTTCATCTTCGCGCTTATGTGGTTGCTGCGCCCGCTGCGTCATTCTCTTTCACGAATCCACCCTCTCGCGTTGCATCCTGCCACGAACGTGCCGCGCGCAAGTATTATACTTTCTTCGCATCGGCTACCGTGCGAGGGTTCAGAATTTGGAAGTCGCGACGCCGATGCCTTGGCTGGAGCGATTAGGACAGGCGGGACAGTGGAGTTAGAGGTGTGCTTATGGATTGCTCGATATCGGGATTAACCGACGAGAGCTGCAATGTAGATAGCCGTTTCTTTAACAAATAGTAATAATCTTAATTATTTTAATTACTTTACGCTAGCTAAAAGCAACATGAAAGAAAGAAAATAATTATATGCATTTTTGTACACGTGAGAAAGAAGCTTCTTTAATAGTAAGATAAAAGTCGACGTTTTTACACTGAAAAGCGCCTGATAGCTCGTCGACAAATTGAACTGTCCCCCTGATTAATTTGTATCTTCTGTCAATCGCGTGTAGCTAGGCGGAACGTTTAATTTCCGGTCTACTCGGCTGTTTCCCTTCTTTTTCTGGTTAGAGTCGGTGGCGGTAATTTCATCATAAAGCTCTTCCGTGGCGAGAGGAACTTCAAATATTTGAATAGCCTCGCCGTAGCCACTTTCTTTTCCGGTTTAACGCGACACGCTGCTCTTTCACCGGATCTCCGTACTCTTCTTTTTTTAATCAAAGAAAAAGAAATTGTTGGCTTTCGGTTTTAATTCCTTTTTTTTTTTTTCTACCTCTTCGCGTGTAATGCAGTTTACCGGAATGGCAGGAGGAATAGCTGGTATCGATCCGAAACGGTGGACGCGAAATATATGAGGCGAAACGTCGAGTAACGGTTCGGCGTAAATGTTGAAACTCGGCCGAGAATGGACTTGTCAACAGTTGTTCTCTTTGCAAATGTTTATTTTGGAAATTGAATTTCCGCAATAAAAACTTGGCGCTAGCATTAATCGTTTCCTCGTTCCCCCTCGCTCTTTTTTTTTCGTTCCGTTCGCGTTCCCGCTTTACTTTGGTAAGAATATTGCGTGAAATAACTTCGCACCGCCGGGCGCCGGCAACGGTCGAGTTTAATTGTTTTTTCGAAACAAACGCGCAAACGATGGTAATTGGTTTCAACAATTTAATCTAATTGTCAAAATTATTCAAACGAATTAACATTCTTATAAAACATGTCATTCACTCGATTTGAAGAAGGAGATATAAGTGTGTGATTCCACCTTTATTATATCGTGAGCAAATACTATGTTTTGAAACCAATTAAGACATTTCGTGCTGCAGTGTATTTTTATATTCCTACGGTATATGTTCTGTTCGAATAAAATTGGTTGACACAGCGGAAGTATGAGTGAAAAAGAAGCAACAGGGCCGTGACGGAAACAGCGTATCGACCAGGCCTGTTCGAAATACTCGATCACAGCCCGGCGATGTTCGAGGGGGTGGCGTCTGAGGCGATGATACCACGAGGCCCGCGGGGCTGGCTAGAAAATATTCGCGACAGGCGTTATAGCAAATGTCGCGTGAAATGCAATTTGCAGCCGCGACGCTGGCTTTTCATTCGATGATTCTCGTTATCCTCGTTACACGTGCCCGTGGCAAATTGCGCGCGAAACCGTGAGAATAAATTGTCTCCACGAGCGTCGGACGACGATTGCATACACAGCACGAGGCGAGGGGCCGAGCGAGCCGCGAGAAAGCGACGAGCATTCGGCTCTCCTTTTTCCCCGATGCGATCCTGCGAATATTTAGTTACCGTGAACTACACTCGTTACCGTTTCATCTTCTCCTGGCAGATACGTGCGACGATTCCTTGAGTCCCTTTCGCCCCGTGTTGCACCGAACCCCCGAACGTGCGTCGCGTCGTCTTCAACGGCCGCGGTCGCTCTTTGCTTTTTACTAGTCGATCGTCGGTCTGGCGAGCACGTCCCGTCTCTAAAATGCTAAGCGCACCCTTCCCGCCTGCCCTGTTTCGCGCGGTGCCCCGTCCTTTTGCACCCTGGCACGCCTTATCGTTCACAGCTACGTGTTAACGCGCCGACGATTAATTTCGACAGACATAATTTCCTGTTTCCCGTTAGAACTCCTCTAACCAGTCTCCCTTCTTCGTATGTCTACCGATGTTCAACAAGGCTAATCTCTGATCGATAAATATTTGAAATTTGAAATTTTCCCGGAGAACAATCGTCTCTTCCTTTGTAATTTAATTTCATTTTACTGTACGTGCATGCGACCGATGAGCACTGATATAAAATTCGTTAAGCCGAGGTTTCTTCGAATCTAACACGCGTGTGGTAATGACGCAATATCTAGCCGTTTGGTATATAATGCAATTGTTGCAGGTAATGCGCTCTATGTAGTACACCACAGTCATTGAATTGGCCGTGGTAAACCGAGAGCTTGCTCTGCTCGTTCTCCTCTACCCACCCGCGTTGTTTGCTGAGATATTACAGCAGGGAAATATAAAGCGACAAATTATTAATGTAAACCTTCCTGTAAGTACAAAATTGGACGGGTATCAAATATTTATGCCCACCTCTCGAGTAATTCGCTCACGTTTATTTGAAGCCGGTCACTTTTCTTCCCGAAATTCAATTTGATCCAAAGATACCGAGTTAAATTAATGCTATGAATTAATGATAAGGGTGGAAACAATTTACTGGGTCATCTTAAAAATAGTAAATTTGTGAAACTGTATCATTCATTAAATTAAAAATTCCTACCCCTTTAAGGATACATTACGCGTGAAGAAGAATTGTCTCCCTTTCTGCTCGGGAAAAATTGGTCACAGTCGGTCGTGCATCAGTAAGACTCTGTTTAAAAGGAAACGCTCGTGTTTCAGCGAGACTGGCGTATGTAAATATATAAGAAAAAGGCAGGAAAAAGGGAAGAGGAGGCTGGTTGGCTGGCATATAATCGCGTCGCGACAAAGAATCCATAAAAGGTTGGGCTGGCTGCGTTTTTCGTGTAGTGTCGAAGAGAGAAGAACGAAAGAGCGAGCTCTAAGCTGCGCCGCACTCGTGGTCCCCGTGAACACAATAATGCTCCGCTATTAACCGAGAGCTTGTATTAAGCCCTCGAAAAAAGCTTTCATGCACTTAACGACAAATAATATGAGAAGTGGTGCTACGCGCGCGCCCGGACACCCGTCTCGCCGACTTTCTCCTACAGATTACACGCGCTCTCGCCTTCTGCACCTGCGAATAGGCTCTGTAATCGTATATAGTCACGTTTTTTCGGTCGAAAAGCACGACCGACGTTCTCCTTTTCAGAGAAGCACCACGATTCGATGGGGTAGTTCAGGGAATCTTTGATCTCATTCTATTCTTAAGGGATGATAGTGTCTAGTTATTTGTTAAATCAAATTACAAATTTCGTTATACTGAAAATATTTATTTAAAATTATTACATGAACTTACATTCTTC